AATATATTAAATTTCTTTATAATTATCACATTTAAATAATAAATTTTCTACTATTATTCCAACTATTTTGTAATAATATAATTAGATTATTTTTTATTAAATAAATCTTAATAAAATAATAGAAAATATAACTTATGCGAAAGAATTTATATAAAAAATTATGTAATCATATAATAAAAATAGTAAAAATTACATGTAGAAGTTATATAAAATAATATAAATTAAATAGTACAAAAAGAAAAAGTTTGCAAGTTTAAATTTTTATATGTACTGTAAGCAAAGCAAAAATATTTGATACTCACTTTTTAGGAGTTTCCGGGATTCGTCTTTAAGAACGTTTAAAATCAACGCTTTCTCCTTTATTTCTTTTTGCAGATTATCTGTTTTACGAACTCTTTCTTCAGGCGAAGGTGTGGAATCTTCGATATCTGCGATTGATTGAGGTGCGGCTTGTTGAATCCAGGTTCGAAGCTCCATCAGTTTTGATTGAAATTTGTTCCATCGAGTACTGTGTTCTTCAAGATAAACAATTTTTTCACGCACAATTTTTAGTGTGTGTTCCATCTTCTGCTCAGTTTCTGTCACTTCTTTTTCCAATATTTCCTTCTTACTTGGCGGTGCGAGCGTCAGCGTTTGAGAAAGATTAGTATGCGTTTCGCGCAGCTTTCTCATTATTTCTTCGGCTGATTTTCTCAAATTCGCGTTGAATTCCTGTTTCTTTTGCAGATCAGTGGTTACTTGAGTGGCATCATGATAAGATGTCAAGTCAATTTGTCGCAACTCTTGCTCGGCTTGCTCAATCAATTTGTAAATTTCGTCCTTCTGCTCTTGATAGGTGCTCCAGAGTTTTTGTGATTCCTTCAGAGATTTTAATCTTTCCATACTTTGACCATATGTGTCGTTCCAGTTGGCTTCTAATTGTTGGATCTCGGAGGAAACAAAGGATGGCGCGTGCTGATCCTTGAGAATATCTTTGCCGCGTTGTAACATGCTGACAACAGTCGCTCGCTGTTGCTCTAATTGATTAAGACGAGATTCCTGATGAACCACCGCATTTTCTAACTTCTCAGGAACTTCGGACGTAATCTCGACTTCTGATTGTTCGCGAACCTTGCGCAACAAAATGCACACTTCATGCACTTCCTTTCGATAGGTATAACTTTTCGAATAGATGTCTGTCTTTGTCATTGTGATTTCAATCGTCGGTATAAGGTTTTTATAACGAGTTATTAGCTGTTCCAAATTTTGCTGCGCCGTGAGTGCATCGCGGTCCGAACGATTCAACGTTAGATTGTCGAGAGTTTGAACCAGCCACTTCATCTCTTCGCGCTTGCTATCGGCTTCGCAGCAAATTTTCTATAAATCGATAACATTTAACGATGGATTAATTCACATTTTCGGAATAAATTAGAAAAAAATTACAAATTACAAATAAATTACAAATAAATTACAAAAATCACAAAAATTAAAACTAAGTCGGGGTATTTAGTAAACATTATATTTCGAGAATAATTATTTTAAATTCTTGAGCATACAAGAAACAAGAAGATACAAATGCATGTATATTTACCGTCAAAGTTTGGAGCTATCCGGAAAGAACGCAGAAAAACCGAAGTATTTAAGCAGTATTTATATATATCAATAACGTGAAAAAATTCTATAAAAAATTGGCCGAAATTTACCTGGAATATGGTCTTTTCCTTCTCAAATTCTTCTAGAGTGTTGACTTCGCGTAAAATAGTTCTCAGAGTACTATCAACATGATCCATCCAATGTACCATCTCATCGAATCTAAAATCAAATATACAATATGTTCAAGAAATCGATATCGATATGTAATAGTCAAATCATACGAATGCTTACTTCTGTCTGTAAGCTGCCCATTGTTGTGGAACTTCGCGCAGCTGTGCCCTCAAGTTTTCCACTTTTTGTGCGGCTTCTTCCCACAAACGTTCGGCGTTTTCCGCGGAATTAGTCAGACTAGTATCTTTCGGCTTAAGTTTGTTGTAGGCGTCGCTAATCTTCTTCAGAGTTTGTAGGCAACGCTCGACTTCGAGGATGGTACCACGGTTCACGAAGAACTCTCTATTGCGCTGCTGAATACCATCCACATCATCGTTATTAATGAGCGCTTGTTGTTCGGAACTAATCTCCATTTCAATTTCTTTGAGGTATTGAAGAAAACTAGCTTCATCCAAGCGAAATTCAAGCTTCATTAAATGAAGCGGCGCGAAAGTGAGAACTTCCCTCCAACGATTCTGAAGAGCCTCTACTGTATTCGCGATAGGCAGCTGCTGGTCAGCTGGTAACGTATTCTGAAGATCTTGTCCGGCGTTCACAAGATCCTGTATCCATTTTTCGTTGACCTTGCCAAAGAAATTTTTGTGACACTCGACGGATTGACGATTGTCAAGATGTTTGTCGTTGATCATTGTCTCCGCAACTGAAAGCCACTCGGTAATTTGTCGCTCGCATTCCTTAAACTTCGTCCAGCGTCGCATCGATTCTTGCAAACGTTGTTCCCAGACTTGTGCCGCTTGAGAAACTTTAACAAATCGATCATTGAGTTCTTTCAGAGTAGCTTTACCTTCGGCTGTCTCCGCATCGGCATAAGTACCCACAGTCTTGGCAATGCTGGCAAACACTTTATTTTTAGATTCTAACATGGATTTGTAATAGAGCATTCTCGAGAGAAAAGCTTTATGACGATCTAATTGAGCCAGTGCAGCATCCCTGCCACCTGCGAGATTGATACTGGCCATAAAGTTTTCAAACTCATCCAGCCATGCGGATATCTCTTTCTGTCCTGCTTCTAAGGATTCTTGTTGCACTAGCAATTGATGGTACAAATGAAGTTGCATCGGTATCAAAGCACGCACCTTAACAAGTACTTCTTTCTCTTTTTTTAAAGTGTTCATCATCTTGTCGACTTCGTCGCGAGACAAATCCTGAATAAGAGCTTGAAACTTCTTGCTGATATTCTTGAAGAGATCTTCAATACCCTCGACCTCATTATGAAGAGTCTGCAATTTCTCTCCATAAGCCTTTATTCGCTCCGTCGAGTTTAATCCGGTAATTAATAAGGCAGCTTCTGCGTCTCTTAACCAGTTTTGCAAAGTCTCCACTCCCATCTTATAATCTTTCCTCGTTCGAATCAGATCACCCGCGTGCATATACTGTTTAGCCTCTTGGAAGAGCTGCTCCCATCTTGCTGTCAAATTTGCGTAACGTTCCTTTAGACGAAACGCGACCGATTCATCGGATGTGGCGATCAGAAAGCTCACAGTGTCTGACAGCTGCTGATGCTTGTCTTTCCATACACTGATGTCCTGGAAGAACTCCATCTTCTCCTCCTCCGGGAGATTTAAAGCGGGCTCGGCATGAAGTAACCATGCCTCAAACTCGTCTGAGACAGTGGTCCAGCGACGCCAATAAGCGACAACTTCCTCGAGCATGCTTTGGACGCAACGCAAGTCCATTGATACATTCTTCCACTTTTCAGCCGTTTCACGCATAAAGCGATCGATATTCAAGCTCTCTTCCCGATCTGAAACACACAAATTACGATAAAAGAAAAGATGTTTGTATCTGTTATTCATACAAAAGATTCTACTTGAACATATATTATGTAATAAATTAATTAAATCGTAATTAACTATTCGCTACTTAAAATAATTAAATTAATATTCAATTATTCTAATCTATATAGTCAGAGATAATTTAAATTTAAATATATTTTTATATTATTTTTGTGTAAATTCCACATTATAACAATCATAGTTAAATATTAATCAACTAAGACATTGTTAATTAATTAAAACATCATTATTTACCAATATCACCGTCGCGCTTGTATTCTTCGGCAACCTGCTGCATGTCCAAGTAAGCCTTCTGAAACTCTTGGAATATCCTGTTTCGGGAGACAAAGTTACGATACTGCTCCAGCATTTGATGCACTTTCTCTTCCGTGCCGTACTTGATGTTCCACCCTTTAAGCTTGGTCTCGACGAGGTATAAAAAGGCGACCAAACAGCATTTGTGCTCTAAGAATTTTAATTTCACTCTCCTCTTAGCAGCGCGACTCGGCAAGCTGTCAAATCGCGCGGACATGTCCTCTAATTGTTCGGATTGGATTTGTCGTGCTAATGGCGAGTTCTTGGCGTGCTGGAATTTTTCTGTCATGGTCGGTAAATCAAGGAAGAACTTCTTATGGTCCTCTAGCTTGTTTGAGATTATGTTCGCTGTGCTTTCCGTCATTTCCTGCGATATATCATTGTCCGAGTGCAAGAGAGTTTCGGCTCTCGCCAACCACCTGCCAGTTTCACCTAATTCTCCTGGTAATGCCGAATCCAACAACCAACGCCAATGTAGCATCTAAAGACGAATATATAATATTTCCGTAAAAGAAATTATTACAACGCAAAATTCCGTTCATTTATTTAGAAAATCTGTAGAAAGACTTACAAATAGCTCCATTTGCTGCCATAGCATTTGTATATTTCTCCAAGAATCCCGCGTAATGCTTATCATGCTGAGTGTATCGACTAAACTTTGCATTTTTTTGTATATAATTAATTTCTCATCATTTTCTGTTTTAAATAGCATATATTCCTAAAAGAGAGACATCACCAGGTGATTTAATATTGAAATAATAGACGAAAGTTTTTATTTTTTATTTTTATATACATGTGTGTGTGTATAAAATCTTAATGATTTTTGGTCTTATAAATAATAATATTAAATATTAATAAAATTATATAAAATTATTGAGATATTGAGAATTAAAGTCTGAAAAAGTACCGGATAGCTTTGTGGGAAAGCGTTGGTTCTGTCAAGTTGTTCGAGATGCCTGACTCTCTCATTTAGCCAGTTAAGAAGACCAGCGTATTCTTCTTGTATGGCAGCGAAGGAATCAGGAGCTATGTTTCCCGGTTCCGGATATTTGTGCAAAAATTGGGCAACGTATGTCATAATCGATTTTTCATCAGGTTGCGGCACGTCCACGTCCTCAGGATCCAACAATCGGGCAATACCTAATTCGAGTTCGGCGACCTGGAAGGCTGTTTCCAGCCGAGTTTTGTTCGACACTTCTCTCATAGCTGCTATATTCACTAAGTTGGCCTTTATGGCATCGATGATAGCTAAGAAGGCATTTCCATCTCTCCAACTTTCACCGAAATCTCGAACTTGAATATCAATGCCCCTGAAGAATGAGGAGTTTTCAATCTCGACATTGTAAAATCATAAAGAACTTCACGTCACTTCACATAAATCTATTACGCAAAATACGATCCGATAAAATACTGACTTGGGCAAGGCATTGGTGACCCACTGAAGCAAGGTTTTCCGTGCTCCTTGTTTCCACTTTTCGCTACTGATGCGTTTTCTTTCGCTTGCTGCCGAGCCCTGAGTGCCGAGGCTTTCTAGGCTGCTTTGGCTGCCCCAGGTTTGTCCAAGATATTCGAGAGCCCTCGTGTTTTCCTCGATCTAAAAAAATGCTCAATCAGGGCGATGTACAATGTTTTTTTTTCAGTCTAGAACTAAGATAATCTGGCGTGCAAATTAATGAGATGCGCAATATCATGCAAGTGCACTTTGTCTTGTTCTCTTAAAACAATCAAGATCATTTATCGCATACTTGATGATCTTGCTTTTTTCACTACTCACCCTTTTGCGATCCTTTGATCGTAGCTTGTTTATTGGAACATACGGTTAGCAGAATGACATAATTTATTTTTTTTATAACAAGGATTAATTTATTTGAATCACGTCATCGTCAATCGAGTTATTTAACTTGCAGAAAAAGATTTTATCAATTTTTATCATTTATAATTAACATTTAAGAGTTAATTTGAGATATTAAACTTGCTAGTAAAACTATGGATTTATATCACAGAATTAGGATTTATATCACAAGCTTAGAATTTTTGTGGTCTCGTACTTTTCCTTGTTCAATTCCGACAATCAATTTGTGAGTCTAACATTGCAGTTTGAGTAAAGTGCATTAGAAAACGCAAAATTAATCCTCGTATAATAGTATAAAAGATATAGTGCTGCTGCATCCGAATATATTATAATACTTTTTATTACGTGACATTTTTATTATGAGCACTACATTTAAGCAGCTACCGCATAATAATTATAATGGTGCTCTTTTACATAACTATTATTACGTACAGTTATAAAATTCCAATGATTATAAATACCTGGAAATACAGAATGATGGTCCATATTAAGCCCAATACTACCGGCGGTCGTCCGTCAACCAAATCGGACGAATTTATGTTCACTAATTTGATCTGCAAAAATATTAGATGAAAGCTTAAGCATCAATTTTTTCACTTATTAATTTAAAATAGAATATTTGATATTTATTACCTTTTTGCTTTGTAAAAATTGTAGCGCGGTGTTGGCATTACTGAGAAAATGCGGTCTCTTTAAATTACGGCCCCTTTCTACGGGCTGAAAGATTATATGCGATTTTGATAATTTATTTTAATAATGTTTATTTTAAATAATAGCGTATAAGATATTTCATTACCAGTTTCTCCCCTGAAAGAACTTCAAGTAGCGCGAGAAGGCGCGTACCGTCTTTCAAATCCTCGATTAAATCATTAATATGAAGTGTTGGAACTCTCTGTGCAAATAATAAACATTTATTAAATTGTAATAATGATGGATTATATTCATATAATACTCGGAAAATTATAACCAACTTTTAAGAAACTATATAAAGGCGATTAGTCATCAAAATTTATTTTTTATTAATTTATATATTATTATAATAATATATAGTGTAAGGAAATAAATGGCGCGCTTTATAGTATTCTAATAAAAGTATAATTTAAATATTAAATTTATGATTATATAAATCAATCACTAGGAACGATAAAATTTACTGCTTATATAAAATTTAATATGCTTATAGTGTTTCATAGCATATTCTTTAAATAAATTCGCGCTATGATTAGAAGTTTTCTAATTTTTTTGAAAAAATTTCTGAATGCAATAAATCGAATTTCCGTCGTTTCCCGATTGTATCAATTTGTAAAACAATATATAATAGATTTGCGTTACTTGCTCTTTGTTTGATAATGTATATTTTTCGTGCCGTCGCACGATTATTCTGTGTATCAACGGTGGGGCTGCTCGTGTTTTAACAACTTTGCTACTTTTGATACATGACAAGTGGAATTTCCGTAGTAAGGTAAGTTCTGAAGGATGCGGAAGTAGGGGAGTATCGAAACTCGAGAACCAGGTACGGACTAGATCAGCCGTTCAAGTTTCGATAGCACGATACGAGAGACAGCGTCATGTTTTATTACGCGTCACGTAAGGATCTAAACCATTACGTAACAAGAAAAAAGTAGTGTCAGATCATCGATGGTTTTCATCGCATTATCGTTATCAAGTATCTATCGATGAAATGTATCGCGATGTCGTAAATGTAGGACAGATTGCTGCGCGCGAGTTTCTTCACTGCATTATATGAAGACGATAAAAATATTCATTCTTGACTCACCTTCGATAAATGAGAGTTAATCCAATTTATGAAGGTTTTTTTCTGCACGCGTTCTTGTTCGTCTGAAAAAAAAAACCGGAAGTCAGATGCTGATTTTTATAGACGCTGTGAAATTATATTAATTAAATAATAATATATGGATTGATTAAATAAGAATATATTTTCGTAAAATTTAGAATGTAGTCTTTGAAATTGAGAAATATTTTTAAGAATGAACATGAGAATATATATTACGTAAATATAAAGAGATATCTATATATGTGTGTGTGTGTGTGTGTGTGTGTGTGTGTGTGTGTGTGTGTGTGTGTGTGTGTGTGTGTGTGTGTGTGTGTGATGAAGGGATGAAGGGTGTGTGTGTGTGTGTGTGTGTGTGTGTGTGTGTGTGTGTGTGTGTGTGTGTGTGTGTGTGTGTGTGTGTGTGTGTGTGTGTGTGTGTGTGTGTGTGTGTGTGTGTGTGTGTGTGTGTGTGTGTGTGTGTGTGTGTGTGTGTGTGTGTGTGTGTGTGTGTGTGTGTGTGTGTGTGTGTGTGTGTGTGTGTGTGTGTGTGTGTGTGTGTGTGTGTGTGTGTGTGTGTGTGTGTGTGTGTGTGTGTGTGTGTGTGTGTGTGTGTGTGTGTGTGTGTGTGTGTGTGTGTGTGTGTGTGTGTGTGTGTGTGTGTGTGTGTGTGTGTGTGTGTGTGTGTGTGTGTGTGTGTGTGTGTGTGTGTGTGTGTGTGTGTGTGTGTGTGTGTGTGTGTGTGTGTGTGTGTGTGTGTGTGTGTGTGTGTGTGTGTGTGTGTGTGTGTGTGTGTGTGTGTGTGTGTGTGTGTGTGTGTGTGTGTGTGTGTGTGTGTGTGTGTGTGTGTGTGTGTGTGTGTGTGTGTGTGTGTGTGTGTGTGTGTGTGTGTGTGTGTGTGTGTGTGTGTGTGTGTGTGTGTGTGTGTGTGTGTGTGTGTGTGTGTGTGTGTGTGTGTGTGTGTGTGTGTGTGTGTGTGTGTGTGTGTGTGTGTGTGTGTGTGTGTGTGTGTGTGTGTGTGTGTGTGTGTGTGTGTGTGTGTGTGTGTGTGTGTGTGTGTGTGTGTGTGTGTGTGTGTGTGTGTGTGTGTGTGTGTGTGTGTGTGTGTGTGTGTGTGTGTGTGTGTGTGTGTGTGTGTGTGTGTGTGTGTGTGTGTGTGTGTGTGTGTGTGTGTGTGTGTGTGTGTGTGTGTGTGTGTGTGTGTGTGTGTGTGTGTGTGTGTGTGTGTGTGTGTGTGTGTGTGTGTGTGTGTGTGTGTGTGTGTGTGTGTGTGTGTGTGTGTGTGTGTGTGTGTGTGTGTGTGTGTGTGTGTGTGTGTGTGTGTGTGTGTGTGTGTGTGTGTGTGTGTGTGTGTGTGTGTGTGTGTGTGTGTGTGTGTGTGTGTGTGTGTGTGTGTGTGTGTGTGTGTGTGTGTGTGTGTGTGTGTGTGTGTGTGTGTGTGTGTGTGTGTGTGTGTGTGTGTGTGTGTGATGAAGGACACGTGGAATAGCATTTATAATTTGTCGTGGCTTTTTGCGGATCGATGGAATCAATTATGAGGATGATGCGAAATACATTAGTGTGTCGTTTTATTTTTAAATCTACCGTCATTTTTGCTATCTTCTCCCACCTTTGGTTGTATTATACTTTGTGTGAGAAATACATGCGTGATATTAAATGCAACTGGCAGGTATTATACCTGCAGATGCATAATCGTAAGACGAACATTAAATTGTCACATAAATTATTTGTGATATACGCATTCATCCTCGATCTAACCACACGAAGAGAAACTAATTGTGTAAAAGCCAATAGGCGAATATGAGCGACGAAGTAGATTACGTTTCTTGATTGCGCAATAGAAGCGCTTTTAATTTTTTCCACAAAATGTGACTTTTAATATTTTCTTTACATATAGTTTTCATTTTTACACGTCTTTAATAAATGATTAAGTTTCATGTTAAAGCGTAGCGCATCTATTTTTGGGAATGGTATCTTTTAAATGAGTACTTAATTATCTCCGTATAAAAAACTGCAAAGATAATGTTTATTTTACAATAAAGGTATTCGTAGTAATATTCGTAAAATTTAATATATGCATTTTAAATCGTGATTTTTTTTCTGTCAACACATGCGCTTGCGAAATGGTGTTACGATAATTCCTGGAAGCAAAAATCTGCGGTCCCTAAAATAAAACGGCGTTTGATGTTACCAACGGGCACCCAACACCATCGCTTTGTGAAACAGTCTTCCTTTTCATCGAGCATTCAACATAGTCTCATCACAGCATATTATACCACATTGTAATGCAATTATTTTGCGGACTCATGGGAGCTACGCATCAATGCGTAACTCGTTTATTATGCGCGACTATAATAAGCAAAACTGACAATTAACGAAAACGCATCGTCTGATGCAATTTTTCTTTATTTATGAAATTAACGAATCTTTAGAAGCTTATGTTTTTATTTAATTTCTCGCTCGGATGACGTATATAAATTGAGTTCTTTGACATTAATTCTTTAATTTTTCTTTTATAGACTGCCCCGAAATGTATGAAAGTCAACGTACAACTTTAAAAAATTTGCAGTTGAGAAATACTTACAAGAAACTATTAAAAGAGCATTTATTTTCGAATTTAGACGTTCCGCTTTACTTGAAATCTTTTCTTGATAAGATTAATGAGGATGCATAATCTCAAACTCGCACATATACATATAAAGATAACGAGAAGTTAAAGAACGAGGCGTGTTAAGTCTCCTATGTCCTCACTGCTACATTAAATTATGACATCAGAAGCGAGAAATCATATAAATTTTTTTCTTGCGAAATATATTGAGAAAAAATTCTAATTAGAAGAATATCTCTCTATCTTCAATAATTTTAAAACTTTCTATATAGAATTATGAAACTAATTTGTTATGTATAGTATATCGTATTTTTTATAGATATTGAGATTTTATAGACATTTTAGTAACAATTAGAGCTTGTAGAATCTGTTGACGCGTGATAGTGGCTTAGAAAAACATTGACTTATTGAACTTTAGCGATATGCTTGGAGAACGATATGTCTGGGAAATTATAGAAAATTGCTATCACTGGTCTTTATCGTTGCTTTATTTATGAGAGATGTTTGATCGCAAACTGAAGAATCGCAAAGTGTGGCCAAAAATTGAAGACTACATTAGTAGTAGTTGTAGTACAGATTAGTAACATTAAAAAGACAGGATATTTCCACGGGTTCTCATTATCATTCATCGCGAGTGTCATGGTTACGGTTGTTTGGCAAGTAAACACACGGGAAAGGTAGTGCCTATAATGAATGCCGATTACACAATTTTCGAGAGTCCTACACTGTCTATGTTACCTTGAATTATGATATTAGAAGCGAGAATTTGGAGAGAAAATTTTTGCACACATAAAGAGCACTAACATAGATTATAACGCGACCAACACATATTTTAATATAGCCCCATTTTTTGAAACAATAATTTTAAATATCTGTAAGAATTTTACGCTTATACCATTTCTAATTTTAGATGCAGTCAATCACAGCATAATTCATATAAAAAAAATATCTTACGTATCTTTATATTAAAAAATATTCGTTACTACATCGGGAGAAATGTAAATACTTTGCATGTTTTTTAAGCATTTAGGCTCATCGCGTCGACATCCAAAATAAATACAGTTTTAAACGAGTAGAAATATTATTCTGTAACATGCGCGCGATGTGTTCGCTTTCGAAAATAACATTTAGGACTCTGGGACAAGATTATCCATGATGTCATTAATGTTCAATAGTTCTTCGTATATTTTTTCAATACGCGCGTGCATTTTTTTTTTATGTCAGTTACTAAACTCTTCTCACATAATAGCGGATCTGGTTACTGAAATCGAGAAATATCGATCATGCGATATCAATACCAAGAGATATAGATGACATTAGTCGACCACTCTGGTATATATGTATATACATATATATATCATTAATATTTCTTTGTGTGACAAAAAATTATCTTTTTTTATTGTACTACGTTTCCCGACCGACCCTGTATGGTGAAAAACACGGATGCATCTTTATTATAAACTGAAACACATGACATATTGATTATGTAAGTTTAATTTCAGTCGACTCTATATCGAATGTCGTGATTCTTGGTTTCCGTGACAATTCAGAATGGCAAGCACTCGTGCATTCACATGTTTGTCCGACTAAACCGCTTTGAAAAAGGTAGTCAAAGGCTAAAGGCAGAATATTAATAGGCCTCATTATACGGCGTCATGAAAGATGACCATGCGGCAGCAAAAATCAACATGATAAAGAAATTCTAGCCATTATGTATTCGACAAAAATATATACAAATTAACAACAATGTAAACATAGTTTTTATAACCCATATCTTAATTTTAATGATATATTTTCTGATTAATTTAAACAGACTTGAAAAAGCTGTTTGCGAGAACAAATTCAAAATATTAAATAGATAACGAAATCATATTTTTAGTATAATTTTAATAGAATTTTATTTTAATACAATATTAATTTGGCCTATTTATTACATAATCTGTTATGAAAATTAAGATTACGATCATGTTTGTGTCGAACGATACTATCATACAAAACATATATGTATGTACAAGAGATGGTAGGATCTAGAGTCAGTCTGTATTTGGTTTTCAAGAGAGAGAGGAAAAGAGCATCAAGAAGTAGGACAAGTTCTTGAGAATGAGGTCAAACGAAGTCTTCTTGTCAAACGAGATAGGATAAATTATGAAATAGAAAAACAATCACAAAAAGAATGAATCCTATAAATTAGTATATTTTATTTTTACGACGACGTTTCGCATAATCGAGTTTCTCATTAAAATATTTTAGTCATACATAACTGTGACAGTTCATTCGATTTAAATCACAGATTTCTATAATATACTGGACTGAAAACTTCTTATGTATCAGTATTTAACTAGACGAGAATATCCATATTTATGAGTATTTAAAAAAAAAGATGAAAGAAATAATTATGATGTAATATTGTAACTTTTATAATTATATAGGCTTCAATTATATATATTGAATATTCTGATA